GTGAAGGTCCATCTAGTCCAGCATCTGGTCTCACACAGTGGCCAACCAGGTCCTCTGGAGGGCCAACAACAGGGCATAGAGGCCGAGGCCTTCATAAGAACATAAGAGCCCTGTTGGATCAGGCCAGTGAAGGTCCATCTAGTCCAGCATCCTGCCTCACACAGTGGCCAACCAGTTCCTTGAAACATCCAACAACAGGGCAGAGAGGCCGAGGCCTTCCCCCGATGTTGCCTCTTGGCTCTGGGATTCAGAGGATTAGTGCCTCTGAATGTGAAGGTTCCCCTCAGCCACCATGGCTAGTAGCCATTAATAGACTTATCCTCCATTAATCTATCTAATACCCCTTTAAAGATATCTTTTTCCTGTGGCCATCACTCCATCCTCTGGCAGTGAATTCCACTCTCCCTGTAAAGTAGTGTTTCCTTTTGTCCGTCCTGAACCTACTGCCCGTCAGCTTCACTGAGTGCCCTCGACTTCTATTCTTTTGGGAGAGGGAGAAAAAGTTCGCTTTATCCACTCTCTCCACCATAGGCATAATTTTATAAACCTCTATGGTGTTGCCCCCTTAGTCATCTCTTCCAAACTGAAAAGCTTCCTAATTTCCGAACTTGGGATCGGGGCAGGAAATACTGACACACACTTTGCCCACTAATGCAGCCAATTGGTGTTATTCAACCAGTTCCAGAACTGACGTGCAACTAATACTCAAAACATGGATTGGGACTCATACTTTGCTTCCACGGTTCCATTTCGAGGCGCTCACGCCTGACTACTTAATTTGGGGGGCAGGACAAGGAAAAAAAAGAGAGAAAAGAGATACCCTTCCCCACCTCAGCTGCCTCCTATCTCCCAGACCCTCATTCATTATTTTAGCCACTACAGCACAATGGCTTTCACCACAATCTCTGTCAATTCAAAAACCAGTCAATAAGCTATATAAGCAGCAGGGCTGGCTCACTCACTAGGCAAACTAGGCATTCGCCTAGAGCGGGCCAGCACTTAGGGGCGTCAAACTGCACCTGCCCCCCCGCCAAAAGCCCTGCATGCATCTAGTCCCTGACTGGGGGGCCGCTACAAAGGGACAGGGCGCACGCGGCTGGGGGGGTCCTGGTTCCCCAGGGGGGAAGGAGACGGGGGGAAGAAAAAGCAGAAGGGCCACCCTCCAAAGAGCCTTGTAGCCCCCTCTCCCCCACACCCAATGCGTCCAGCTTAGCACCCGTCTTGAGCGCTGGAGAGACACGCGGTGGCGGGGGGGGACACAAGGTGAGGGGGGGCACCACAAGGCAGCCTCACCTGGGGGGGCGCTAGTTTCACCTAGGGCGGCGCTAGTTTCACCTAGGGCACTGAAAAACCTCGAGCCAGCCCTGGTTGGGAGAGGGGAAACTCTTCAAGACAGGCAGCAGGGAGAAAACATCTCTGCCTTTGGGGCAGTGGGGGAAAGGGAACCATCTACAGCTGATGCCCAGGGCACGTTCTTCCCTCCAATGCCCCCCCCCCAGGTACTCACACAAGCCAGTCCACCGCCAGAATGAGGGAGATGTCTTCGGTGGGCAGCCCAACGGCCTCCAGAATGATGGCAAGAGTTAGGATGCCGCCCGCGGGAATCCCGGCTGCCCCGACGCTGGACGCCGTCGCGGTGACCCTGCAGAGTTAGAAAACACACAAGTTAGAGAGACGGCTGCCGGTCATCCCCCCTGGCTTTCACTGCGAAGGTAAATAGTCAGTGGCGACCCTGATAGATTTACAGAGAGCTAAGCTAAACCATATATATAAAAGTACAAATATTTATTAAGGTGTACACATCTCTAGTTCCAGCTCCTGCCAACCTAGCAACATGTTAAAACTTTCCTGATTAAAAATTACTTTGTCTAAGATCAGACTATAAAAGCTTATCCACTATACATACATATGATGGGTTAATACTTGATGGAGGGACACACATTCAGACCTACAAAATCGCTGTTACCAGAATAAGTTGTGGAGGTGATATGGATATACCTATGGCCCATCACTAATACCAGGAGTCCAATTATAAGTATACAAAGAAACAACATCCGGTTTAATTCCTTTGGTGGGAAGGAAACAGCGTTTAGCTTAGCCCTTTTTGGTTCGTAGTCATATCCTGGGTTGAGTCCCCCCCCCCTTTTTTCCTGATTTACAAAGGGAACATCGCTCTTTTATAGATTTTCAAAAAATAGATCGGTATTAATGCTAATACCTTTCTGTACATCTGTACAAGAATGAACATCAAAGAAATAATTCCACAATGTGGACAAGCACCGTCCAGTAATCTAAAGTTCTTACAGACAGTGAATCTCCTTTGTGTCTTTCTTGTACTAGTCTTGGATTCTATACTCCCTCTAAGCCAGTTTGGTGTCGTGGTTAAGTGTGCGGACTCTAATCTGGGAGAACCGGGTTTGATTCCCCACTCTCCCACTTGCACCTGCTGATGTGACCTTGGGTCAGTCGCAAGCTCTGGCACAGCTGTTCCTGAAAGAGCAGTTTGTGTCAGAGCTCTCTCAGCCCCACCCACCTCACAGGGTGTCTGTTGTGGGGAGGGGAAGGGAAAGGAGTTTGTCAGCCACTCTGAGACTCCAAGTGAAGGGCGGGGTAGAAATCCAATCTCTTCTCTTCTTCAGCTGTGGAGTCATGTGAACAAAAATTCTACTTGGTGAGCTACTGGCATTAAAGTTGTGAGCAGGGGTTATTTCCTGCCGGAGTGCCCCGGAGCGGCGCTCTGACAGTCAGGAGCCCAGGCCCCGCCTCCCTGCCTTTCCTGGCCACCGGTGGAGAGACTTGGGGGGATTTAAATCCCTGGGTTCCCTGCCTGATCCCTGCCACAGTGGGTTGGCTGAAGAGGGGAAGGGGAGGTGAGCAGACATGGCCCCTTTCCTCCTGAGCCTCTCCGCTTTTGCAGAGAGACTGGGGGGGGAGGATTTAAACTCATTTGCATATGCCTTAACTCATTTTAAACATGCCTGCCCTTTGTTCAGGGTGTGTGTGTGGCATATGCAAATGAGTTATGCAAATGAGCTGCACCTCTTTTTCTAGGAAATGGCCCCTGGTTGTCAGTGAGTGATTTGGCTACGGCATCAATTAGTTTGCTCCGGAGCCATCCTTCCTGGGCTGAGACAAAGGCCTGTGAGCCGGAGGCTTAGAAACCGTGAGCCAGCTCACACCAACTCAGCTTAGAGGGAACACAGTAGACAGATAGCAGACAGGTCACGAATCCAAGACCTGTCTCATGAGGCTTCTTCAGAGCAGAAAACGGGTGGAGTCCGTGAATCCTTTCCTACTCAGCGTTCATCCCTGCAAGCTGTCTCTCTGCATAATGCTCACGCTCGGTGAAATCGTCTCTTATTCAGCCTCCTCTCTTGTTTGCTTCCTCTCAAAGACTTGAACAGTTCTAAATTTTTAATTTAATCACCGTGAAGGTGACAGCAGCCAGACTGCATCAGCTACACTTTACAGAAGGGAAAGACCCTACGTGGCATGGGACGGGGGGTCTGGAGGACTGTTGTCTCCCATATACTCCTGCCTGGGAACTAACACCAGAGAGAGAGGGCCTCTTGAACGTCCCATCGACCAAACAAGTTCATTTGGCGGGGACACAAAAGTCGGCCTTTTCAGTGGAGGGCCCCACGGCTACGGAACAACCTCCCCGGGGAGGTGCGCCCGGCCCCCTCACTTTCGATCTTGAGGAAACGGCCGGAGATGTTTGATTGAAGACCGCATTTGGTTGGCTTTTACTAGCAGCCCTGAATGGCGGCTTTAAAAGCAGCCCGGAGTTGTGGTTTGAAAATCTGGTTTTTACAGGGCAGAAGAAGATAATTTAATGTATTTTATCTGGATCGTTTTAATGTATTTTATCTGGATCGTGAGCCACCGTGAGCTCCATTAATGAAGAAAGATGGCTCATAAACACGAAAGAAAGAAAGAAAGAAAGAAAGAAAGAAAGAAAGAGATGCAGGCAGAGAGAGAGAAAGAGAGAGAAAGAGAGGGAAGGAAGGAAGACAGACAGAGAGAGCGAGAGCAAGAGAGGGAAGGAAGGAAGAAGGAAGGAAGGAGAAAGAAAGAAAAAGAGAGAGAGAGGGAGGGAGGAGGGAAATACAAGATTTCAAATTCCCAGCATCACTGCTGCCGGGGCTCGATGCCAACAGTTTGAACACACAGTAGCACAAAGCACTGGGGGGCCAGGTAAAGTTTAGGAGCCATCATGGAAAGAGAGAGAGACGGAGATTCAAGCACATCCACCGGTGCCTCCTCTTCCTTTCCCTCCAGGCAGGCCTTTGTTTCAAGGACCAAAAAAGCAAAGCCCACTGAGGCAGAGCCCAGCCAGGAAGCGCTTTCCATCTACAGTGCAACGGCGATTCGGGGCCAAGACAGGAAGACAGCTCCCCCCCCCACGCCACCGCCCTCAGAATAACCTGCTTTCTGCTCTCTCCTCCCACCCAGAACCACACCCCGGGATGAAAGCCAGGGCTCACATGCTGGTCATGAGAACACCCCATCACCATCCCCCCCCCCATAAAGCCGTCGGCCAACTCATGGGGCTGAGTCACAGGGGCGAGGGTTCCCTCAGACGCCTCCACTACAGGGTTGTCCCTCTGCCAATTGCCCTTATTTGGGGCCTGTCGCCTGAGGCTACGGAGAATCACCAGCGCTCATAAGAACATAACAGCCCTGCTGGATCAGACCAATACTCCATCTAGTCCAGCATCCCCGCCTCACACAGAGAGCAACCAGTTCCTGTGGACACTCAGTAACAGGGTATAGAGGCCGAGGCCTTCCCCTGAGGTTGACTCAGTGCCTTTGAATGTGAGGGCTTCCCCTCAGTCACCACGGCTAGTAGCCATTGATAAGAAGATCAGATAAACCCTGCTGGGTCAGAGCTGTGAGGGTCCATCCAGTCCAGCCTCCTGTCTCACACAACGGCCAACCAGTTCCTCTGGAGGGCCAGCAGCAGGGCAGAGAGGCCGAGGCCTTCCCCTGACAGGATCAGAAGAGCCCTGCTGGATCAGACCTGTGAGGGTCCATCGAGTCCAGCATCCTGCCTCACACAGGGGACAGCCAGTTCCTCTGGAGGGCCAGCAACAGGGCAGAGAGGCCGAGGCCTTCATAAGAACCTCAGAAGAACCCTGCTGGATCCGGCCAATGGTCCGTCTAGTCCAGCATCCTCTCTCACGCCTGATGTTTCCTCTTAGCTCTGGGATTCAGGGGATTCGTGCCTCTGAATGTGGAAGTTCTCCACAGTCACCATGGTTAGTAGCCATTGATAGATTTCTCCTCCATGAATCGATCTAATCCCCCCTTTAAAGCTGTTTATTCCTGTGGCCATCACAACATCCTCTAGCAGCTAATTCCACATCTTAATCACTCTCTGTGTAAAGTAGTATTTTCTTTTGTCTGTCCTGAACCTAATAAGAACGTAAGAAGAGCCCTGCTGGATTAGACCAGTGAAGGTCCATCCAGTCCAGCATCCTGTCTCTCACACAGTGGCCGGCCAGTTCCTCTGGAGGGCCAACAACAGGGCATGGAGGCCGAGGCCTTCCCCTCTGATAAGAACGTAAGAAGAGCCCTGCTGGGTCAGACCTGTGAGGGTCCATTGAGTCCAGCATCCTGCCTCACACAGGGGCCAACCAGTTCCTCTGGAGGGCCAACAGCAGGGCAGAGAGGCCGAGGCCTTCCCCTGAGAAGAACCTAAGAAGAGCCCTGCTGGGTCAGACCTGTGAGGGTCCATTGAGTCCAGCATCCTGCCTCACACAGGGGCCAACCAGTTCCTCTGGAGGGCCAACAGCAGGGCAGAGAGGCCGAGGCCTTCCCCTGAGAAGAACCTAAGAAGAGCCCTGCTGGGTCAGACCTGTGAGGGTCCATTGAGTCCAGCATCCTGCCTCACACAGGGGCCAACCAGTTCCTCTGGAGGGCCAACAGCAGGGCAGAGAGGCCGAGGCCTTCCCCTGAGAAGAACCTAAGAAGAGCCCTGCTGGGTCAGACCTGTGAGGGTCCATTGAGTCCAGCATCCTGCCTCACACAGGGGCCAACCAGTTCCTCTGGAGGGCCAACAGCAGGGCAGAGAGGCCGAGGCCTTCCCCTGAGAAGAACCTAAGAAGAGCCCTGCTGGGTCAGACCTGTGAGGGTCCATTGAGTCCAGCATCCTGCCTCACACAGGGGCCAACCAGTTCCTCTGGAGGGCCAGCAACAGGGCTCAGAGATCGAGGCCTTTGTAAGAACATAAGGAGAGCCCTGCTGGCTCAGACCAGTGAGGGTCCATCTAGTCCAGCGTCCTGCCTCACACAGTGGCCGACCAGTTCCTCTGGAGGGCCAGCAACAGGGCTCAGAGATCGAGGCCTTTGTAAGAACATAAGGAGAGCCCTGCTGGATCAGACCAGTGAGGGTCCATCTAGTCCAGCCTCCTGCCTCACACAGTGGCCGACCAGTTCCTCCGGAGAGCCAACAACAAGGCAGAGAGGCCGAGGCCTACCCCTGACGTTGCCTCCTGGCTCTGGGAGTCAAAGGATTAGTGCCTCTGAGCATGGAGGTTCCCCTCCGTCACCGTGGCTAGCAGCCACTGATAGACTGATCCTCCTTGGATCTCTCTAATCCCCTTTTACAGCTGTGTTTATGCCTCTGGCCATGGTCTCTGACCCCCGGACTGGACCTTGCTTTGGGAGGAATGCTGGAAGAAGAGGCTGCCCTTTAAAGCCCAAGACTGATCGGCAAACAGGGACCAGACAGACAGCTGGAGCCAGTCAACTCCTGGCTGCAGTTCAGCATTTGTCCCCACTCCCCCTCCAGTACAGCAGAGGTCATCGGGAGCATCTCCCGCCCCTGCGGCCCTCCGGTCTTTCCTTCTGACCAGGCACGCAGTTCTGTGACTGCCCAGTGTACCGCTGAAGGCTCTCTCTCTCCCCCTGGTCGATGACTCAGCACCTCGAGGCCAAGAGAAAGGGCCTTCTTGGAACTCAGGGAGCCTGTAGTTCTGCTCACAGACACTCAAACAGGACAAGATCCCTACTTGGCACATTTAAAGTATGCAGATTCGAGGGCTTGTGGCTCAGGGGAACGGCCTCTGCTTGGCACGCAGAAGGTCCCAGGTTCAATCCCCGGCATCTCCAGTTAAAAAAAAATCTGGCCGCTAGATGTGAGTCCAGAAGAGACCTTAGAGACCAATTTTCTTTTCTTTTTCCAGAGTATAAGCTTTCGAGAGTCCAGCCTTCCTTTGTCAGGTCTGGTAGGAGGTGATGGGAAAGACCTTCCTCTGCCTGAGACCCTGGAGAGCGGCTGCCAGTCTGAGCAGACAATACTGACATTGATAGACTGACGGTGTGATTTCAGTATAAGGCAGCTTTGTGTCCAGGAAGTACAGGGGAGGGGCTGTGGCTCAGTGGTAGAGCCTCTGCTTGGCATGCAGAAGGTCCCAGGTTCGATCCCCGGCATCTCCTGTTAAAAGGACCAGGCAGGAGGGGATGGGAAAGACCTCCGCCTGAGACCCTGGAGAGCCATGAAGGGGGGCTGTGGCTCAGTGGAAGAACATCTGCTTGGCATGCAGAAGGTCCCAGGTTCGATCCCCGGCATCTCCTGTTAAAAGGACCAGGCAGGAGGGGATGGGAAAGACCTCCGCCTGAGACCCTGGAGAGCCATGAAGGGGGGCTGTGGCTCAGTGGAAGAACATCTGCTTGGCATGCAGAAGGTCCCAGGTTCGATCCCCGGCATCTCCTGTTAAAAGGACCAGGCAGGAGGGGATGGGAAAGACCTCCGCCTGAGACCCTGGAGAGCCATGAAGGGGGGCTGTGGCTCAGTGGAAGAACATCTGCTTGGCATGCAGAAGGTCCCAGGTTCAATCCCCAGCATCTCCAGCTAAAAGGTCTCAGCTTGGTGGGCCAGGAGGGATGTGCTGCCGTTGGAGGAACTTTCCCTCCTTCTCCTGCCTCTTCCCAGTTCACTCTCCCGAAGCCGCTCTACCCTTCCTTCGCCTCCCGGGCGGATAGCGTGAGCTCAAGAGGATGTGGCCTTGTGTGTGCGTGTGTGTGGCCTTTGAGCAGGATGTAATTCTGTTAGGAAGAAGATGGGAATCACAAAGTTGCGGGAGAAACAAAGGGAAGACTCATCTCACCTCGGGCCGCGTGGGCCGGGCAGCAGGTGGGCGGAACTACAAAAGCGTTCGCTTAACAAGGGATCTCACTGTGGCCAGAAGCTTCAGTTCATTGGGTGGAACTCTGGAGGACACTCACAAGGGAGCTCGTATCAGCTGAGCTGGACTTGAACACGAACCTGGCAGAGCAAGGATGGTAGTCGGAAGGGGCCATAGAGGCCATCTAGTCCAACCCCCCCTGCTCAGTGCAGGGTCAGCCTAGAGTTTGTCCTGAGAAGGGATTTGTCCAGCCGCTGCTTCAGGACTGCCAGGGAGGGGGAGCTCACCACCTCCCCAGGCAGCTGCGTCCACTGCTGAATTAGAATCACAGAATCACACAAGGGGCCATAGAGGCCATCCAGTCCAACCCCCTGCTCAGCCTAGAGCAGTGGTGGCGAACCTATGGCACGGGGGCCAGAGGTGGCACTCAGAGCCCTCTCTGTGGGCACGCGTGCCATCGCCCCAGCCAGGCCCAGACCATCATTAAAGTGTGGAATTCTCTGCCAAATAATTTTAAGTAAGTGAAAGCATTTGGGATTGCTTTCCTTACTTTGTTTGTCACACCAGCAGCTGCACGTGGAGGAGTGGGGGAATCAAACCTGGTTCTCCCAGACTAGAGTTCGCGCTCTTAACTACTACACCAAACTGGCTCTCTGTTGAGAACGGCTCTGAGAGAACTTGTCACTGGGTCACACCAGCTGGCTGCATGTGGAGGAGTGGGGAATCGAACCCAGCTCTCCCAGATTAGAGTCCACACTCTTAACCACTACACTAAACTGAGAACAGCTCTGAAATAACTTGTCACTGACCCAAGGTCACCCAGCCAGCTGCATGTGGAGGAGGAATGGGGAATCGAACCCAGTTCTCCCAGATTAGGGTCCACGCTCTTAACCACTACACTAAACTGACTCTCTGTTGAGAGAACAGCTCTGAGAGAACTTGTCACTGACCCAAGGTTACCCAGCTGGCTGCATGTAGAGTGGGGAACCAAACCGGATTCTCCCAGATTAGAGTCCGTGCTCCTAACCACCACACCAAACTGGAGGTGCCGCCGGGGAGACTGAACTGGGGGTGGGGTTGGCCCGTGCATGCCAAAACTCTTCCGTCTCAGTGACCTCCCCTCCCAGGAGAAGGCCGAGGGCCTTCCAGCGAAGACTCACAGAATGGTGATGACTTGGACAAAGTTGAGGGATACGTTGTTCAGCTGGGCGATGAAGACGGCGGCCACACACTGGAAGAGGGCGGCCCCGTCCATGTTGACCGTAGCCCCGATAGGCAAGATGAAGCGGCTGATATGCTTGGAGACGCCGTTGTTCTCCTCGACGCACCTTATCATCAGCGGCAGCGTGGCGGAGCTGCGGGGGAAAGAAGGGAGCCAGGTCAAGGCAGAAAGGTCAAGGGCTCTAGAACCGGCGTGCAGATAGACCAACGCTGTCTGCTCCAACACATTTGGGAACGGAACCATCGTACAAAGCCTGTGCCCGAGGCATTCTAAAATCCTGTTTTTCAAACGAGCTCCGGACTAAGAATATTTGCGTAATGTTCTCTTAACGCTCATGCACCGTGAAGAACCTGCCCCAGGCCCACAAAACATTCAAGTGCCCTGAGCTGGAAGCAACGGAACGTTAACAAACAGGTGCACTCGGCAGGGAGGTGAAAGGTCAAGTTCAGCTTGGAGGGGGGTGGAAATCAAATGCTTGGCTGAGGAAGTTGTGCGTCTGAGACAGAATTCAGGGGGGAAACACGAAGAAGAGGAGGAGATTGGATTTATACCCTGCCCTTCACTACCCAAAGGAGTCTCAGAGCGGCTGACAAACTCCTTTCCCTTCCCCTCCCCACAACAGACACCGTATGAGGTAGGTGGGGCTGAGAGAGCTCTGACAGAAACTGCTCTTTTTCAAGAACAGCTGTGCCAGAACTATGGCTTGCCCAAGGTCATCCAGCCAGGTGCAAGTGGAGGAGTGGGGAATCAAACCCGGTTCTCCCAGATTAGAGTCCGCCGCAGTTAACCACTGCACCATACTGGCTCTCAAATAAAAGGTTCTAATCCAAAGTACAAGGACAGTGGGAAGAGAGACGAGAGGAAGGAGAGAGGAAAGGAAACAGTGTTAAGTAATGACAGGCAAAACAGAGGAAGAACGGGGGGGTTTTTGTGCCAGAAGTGTCAGGAAGGCTAAAGGTGTCCAGGTCAGGACATGAGGTCTTAGGGCAGAGGGTTCTTAGGAACCTGGGGGTGGTGGTGCAGAAATCCAACAAGCGGCAAGGCCAACTCGCATTTAACATACCAACGATGTGGTCACCAGCCTCAGCCTCCCTATAAGGTATACTGAAGTGGCTCAACCCATTCCTGCCTTCTTAAAATTCCATTTTAAATCTCATGGGGGGGGGGATACCAAGCCAAAAAAGACAGCTTGACCCAACCCAAAGGCTGAGAAAACAATACATAATGCAATATACCAATAACAGCCACCAGTGTTCCCCTTAAGCTGAGCTAGTGTGACCTAGCTCACAGTTTTTAAGCCTCCGGCTCACACATTTTCGTCTCAGCTCAGGGAGGGACAGCTCCACAGCAAACTCATTGATGCAGTAGCCCAATCACTGGCTCACAACTTTAACACCGGTAGCTCACAAAGTAGATTATTTGCTCACGAGACTCCACAGCTTAGAGGGAGCACTGACGACCACTTCAGTTGTATGCACAAAACACTACACAGGTGGTATGTTTGCATATGTTTCACGCCTGTGTATTGGCATTGCTGTTTTGAGCAGAGATATCCAGACATGATTACTTTGTTATAAGGGGCTCTGAACAACTTGCAAGTTTTTAATTTGGTCATCTGACTGGTCCTTGTGGTTCAAATCGAATCAAATTTATTAAGACGGCTCGTGACCAGCACAAGAGCACTTACAGCAATGTACACAAGTCTTGTAGATTTTCGGAAATATACAATATTAAAATTACTGAATGGCCCATGCATTCTTAAAATCACAGAACAGATCGAGCAAAACATCTACATTTTATGGTTCAGCTACGTTCCATGTTAATTCCCTGTGGATTCTGCATGACGCTGCAAGAAATCTGGCACCAGGCAGTGTGAGTTGAAGATTTGCGTCTGAAATGAACTTCCTCATAATTTCGGATTAAGAGCAGGCGGAAAACCTCCCAAGCGAGGGTGCAATAATCTTCGGGTGAACTTCCTGGTAGAAACGGCAGTGAAGCAACATATGTTTGTCTGTCTCAACCTTCCCTGCGCCACAGGGGGCTCTTTGCAGTTTTATTATGATTTTTCCCCACTGTGTAAGCGGGACACAGTTGTGCCGATTACATTTATAGCATAAGCCATTAGCGAAGGCTGATTTGCCAAGACACATGTGGTGCTCTGTCTTGTCTCACTGCCTCTGGATGTTTGCAATCCGGTTTTGAACTGTTATTGTAGCAAACTAAGGGGCGTTCAGGCCAAACGGTAAGGACCGGCTCCCAGCTGCCCTGTAAGCTTTCCGCGGAGTGGAAATTTGAACATGATCATGTCCGAATCCAATGTGCCGACTTATATAACACTGGGTTCTGTATCTAATGTTTGGGATAACTGTCACAAAGACTGGGGGTGGTGGAGGGGGACACGAAGACAGAAGGGAGATGCAGGAGGAGGAGGAGGAGGAGGAAGAGATTGGATTTATACCCCGCCCTTCACTACCCAAAGGAGTCTCAGAGCGGCTCACAATCTCCTTTCCCTTCCCCTCCCTACAACAGATGTGCTGTGAGGTGGGTGGGGGCTGAGAGAGCTCTCTCGAGAACTGCTCCTGAGAGAAAGGCTCTGAGAGAACTTGTGACTGACCCAGGGCCACCCAGCTGGTTGCATGTGGAGGAGAAGAAGAAGAGATTGGATTTATACCCCGCCCTTCACTACCTGAAGGAGTCTCAGAGCGGCTCACAAACTCCTTTCCCTTCCCCTCCCCACAACAGACGCGCTGTGAGGTAGGTAGGGCTGAGAGAGCTCTTTCGAGGACTGCCCTTCAAGAAGAGAAGAGATTGGATTTATACCCCGCCCTTCACTACCCGAAGGAGTCTCAGAGCAGCTCACAAACTCCTTTCCCTTCCCCTCCCCACAACAGACACCCTGTGACGTAGGCAGGGCTGAGAGAGCTCTTTTGAGGACTGCTCCTGAGAGAACAGCTCTGAAAGAACTTAGGACTGACCCAAGGTCACACCAGCAGCTGCATGTGGAGGAGTGGGGAAATCAAACCCAGTTCTCCCAGATTAGAGTCCGCGCTCCTAACCACTACACCAAACTGGCTCTCTGCATTTGATAAGGCAAAACTCAAGCCCGTCACGGTTAAAGTGCCCATTCTGAGCAGATCTTCCTCATCTAGCTCTCCCCAGAGAAGTTTCCCTGTCCAGCCCTCCCCCTGGACATGAATATACATGAAGCTGCCTTACACTGAATCAGACCCTTCATCCATCAAAGTCAGTACTGTCTTCTCAGACTGGTAATGGCTCTCCAGGGTCTCAGGTGGAGGTCTTTCCCATCACCTCCTGCCTGGTCCTTTTAACTGGAGATGCCGGGGATTGAACCTGGGACCTTCTGCATACCGAGCAGAGGCTCTGCCACTGAGCCACAGCCCCTCTTTACAGCTCCCCAGGTTCTCAGGCTGAGGTCTTTCCCATCCCCTCCTGCCTTGTCCTTTTAATGGGAGATGCCGGGGATTGAACCTGGGACCTTCTGCATGCCAAGCAGAGGCTCTACCACTGAGCCACAGCCCCACTTCATGGCTCTCCAGGGTCTCCGGCGGAGGTCTTTCCCATCCCCTCCTGCCTGGTCCTTTTAACTGGAGATGCCGAGGATCGAACCTGGGACCTTCCAGTTTGGTGTCGTGGTTAAGTGCGCGGCCTCTAATCTGGGAGAACTGGGTTTGATTCCCCACTCCTCCACTTGCACCTGGCTGGATGACCTTGGGCAAGCCGTAGTTCTGATAAGAGCTGTCCTTGAAAAAGAGCCGTTTCTGTCAAGAGTTCTCTCAGCCCCACCTACCTCACAGGGTGTCTGTTGTGGGGAGGGGAAGGGGAAGGAGTTTGTAAGCCGATCTGAGACTCCAAGTGAAGGGCGGGGTATAAATCCAATCTCCTCCTCCTCCTTCTCTTCCGCATGCAAAGCAGAGGCTCTACCACTGAGCCACAGCCCCTCTTTGCAGCTCTCCAGGGTCTCAGGCGGAGGTCTCTCCCATCCCCTCCTGCCTGGTCCTTTTACTTCCACTGAGCCACCGTCCGTGCCCCCGGGGATGCCAGCCTCCAGGTGGAGTCTACAGCATCGTACCCCACCGAGGTCCCTGCCCTCCCCAGGCTCCACCCCCAAAATCTCCAGGAATGTCCCAGCCTGGCCCTGGCGACCCCGCCCCCCCGTGCCCCCCGCGTCCACTGCTCGCCTTTCCGTACCTGGAGGAGGTCCCGAAGGCGGTGGCCAGGGCGGTGAAGATGCCCCAAAGGAAGCGGTAAGGGTTCTTGCGGGTGAAGGCGAAGTAGATGGCCGGCAGGATGATGAGCCCGTGGATGGCGTGGCCCACGAAGCAGCACACGATGTACTTCCCCAGGCTGGCGAAGAGGGCCACCACGTCCTCCATCTCCACGATCTTGCCGGCAACCAGGAACATGATACCTACGGGGGCGTACCTGGAAGGGGAGAACCAGACAGGTAGAACGCGCGGGAAGTGGCGCGTCACCCGAGTGGTGTGTGTGTGTGTGTGTGTGCTGGCGCACCCGCGGTCCCAAGGCAGCAGAAATCAGATGCCGGTTTGGTTAACTGGGCACCGCCTTCTGCTTCGTGGAAGCACCAGGGTCGGTCTTGGAGGACTGCAACCAGTGTTCCCTCTAAGCTGAGTGAGTGTGAGCTAGCTCACAGTTTATTTTGGCCTCCGGCTCACACGTTTTTGCCTTAGCCCAGGAAGGAGGGCTCCAGAGCAAACTCATTTATGCAGGAGCCAAATCGCTCACTCACAATTTTAACGCCAGGAGCTCACAAAGTAGAATTTTTGCTCACAGGACTCCGCAGCTTAGAGGGAGCATTGCCTGCAACTACCCCTCCCGAAGTCAGAGAATCACGGAGCCGGAAGGGGCCATAGAGGCAATCCAGTCCAACCCCCTGCTCAGTCTAGAGCAGTGGTGGCAAACCTATGGCACGGGGGCCAGAGGTGGCACTCAGAGCCCTCCCTGTGGGCACGCATGCCCTCGCCCCAGCCAGGCCCAGACCATCATTAAAGTGTTGAATTCTCTGCCAAATAATTTTAAGGAAATGAAAGCATTTGGGATTGCTTTCCTTACTTTGTTGGGATCATCTTAAGTTAATGTAGGAGTTGTTTTTTCTAAAGTAAAACCTCAGTATTCAGGTTAAATGGCCGTGTTGGCACTTTGCGATCAATAAGTGGGTTTTGGGTTGCAGTTTGGGCACTCTGTCTCTAAAAGGTTCGCCATCACTAGCCCAGAGCATCCCTGACAAGGGTTTGTCCAGCCCCTGCTCCAAGACGGCCAGTGAGGGGGAGTTCGCCACCTCCTCAGGCAATCCTGATTCATTGGAGGAGAGCTGAAGGGCCCGCCCCCGCCCGGAAAGTGGTGCGTCACCCGAGTGGTGTGCTCACGCACCTGCAGACCCACGACAGCGGAAATCAGATGCAGGTTTCGTTAACTGGGCACCGCCTTCTGCTTCGTGGAAGCCTCACGGTCGATCTTGAAGGACTGCAACCCGTGTTCCCTCTAAGCTGAGTGAGTGTGAGCTAGCTCACAGTTTTTTAGCCTCCGGCTCGCACATTTTTGTCTCCGCTCAGGAAGGAGGGCTCCAGAGCAAACTCATTTATGCAGCAGCTAAACTGCTCGCTCACAACTTTAACGCCAGGAGCTCACAAAGTAGAATTTTTGCTCACAGGACTCCGCAGCTTAGAGGGAGCATTGACTGCAATTACCCCTCCCGAAGTCAGAGAATCATGGAGTTGGAAGGGACCATAGAGGCCATCTAGCCCAACCCCCTGCTCAGTGCAGGATCAGCCTAGAGCATCCCTGACAAGCGTTTGTCCAGCCGCTGCTTAAAGACTGACAGGGGAGCTCCCCACCTCCCTAGGCAGCTGATTCCACTGTGGCACAACTCTGACTGTCAAAAAGTTCTTCCTAATATCCAGCTGGTACCTTCCCACCCTTAACTGAAACCCATTATTGCGAGTCCAGCTCCCTGCCCTCCTCCAAGGGACAGCCCTTCCGATACTTCAAGAGAGCCATCCTGTCCCCCCTCAACCTCCTCTCCTCCAGACCAAACATTCCCAAGTCCCCCCTCAGCCTTTCCTCATAGGGCTTCTTGGTCTCTAGGCCCCGTTGCTCTCTTCTGCACCCGCACCGTTCTGTCCACGTCCTTTTCGAAGTGAGGCCTCTAGATCCACACACAATACTCCAAGTGTGGCCTGACCAATGCGGTCTACAGCAGGACTATGACATCTTGTGATATGTATGCTACGCCTCTGTTGATACACCCCCCCCCCAGATCGCATTAGCCTTTTTTGCCGCTGCGTCACACTGCATAGGAGTCTCTAGCCCTCGCAGATGCAAACCTAGAGAAAGTGCCTGGTGAGAATTTGGAAGACGGAGGTGTTCCAGTGGTCAGGCCTTCAGTGCTTATCGCAGTTCTTTGCAGCAGCTCGCATTATACAGGATTAAACACACACAGGGTGCCGTTCAGACGCGCCGTTTGATCTGGTGTCGTGACAGTTCGGGAACGGATTTTTATCTGCACGATCACACAGTCAACATCTGCCTCCCATCCCCAGCCGTTGGTTTCCAGCTCAAAACCGCTTTAACCTTGAGTATTTTGTTATCAGGTCCCAAAGTGGTGTTTTCTTAGCTCTCCTGTTTAAAGCCGCATTTTCCCCGTGTGATCGCTCCTCCGGTGTCAAGCCCCTTCCGGTTTAAACCCCCTCCCCGCTCGAAAGCTGCCTGAGGCTTCCGTTTTTCGCCTACCTTTTTTTTTTTAGCATTGGCGGTGCGCGCATAGGCGGAACTCCGCTATCGTGTTTAGAAAACCGACATTTAAACGGTCACTTGTTTTAGAGTTTAGATGAATTCGGGATCTCACAGAGGCCATTTTCGGGCCAAACGTTTAACAGGAAAGTCTTTTGTTAGAGGAGTTGGATAGATTTGCCCTGGTGGTTCTGCGCATGCGCCATGGTAGTTTCGCCCCCCCATTCTACAGATGAGCGCCTATGCGCGTGCGCAAACTGAGAAAAAATTTAAAAACCTTGCCGACAGACGCTCCCGCATGTCGGTAGTGTAGACGCCGGGGAGCAATGTGACTGCGCAGTGAGGCAGGATAAGGGAGGTAAGTTGCGATTATCCAGATCAAATATAATCCGGTCAGAACCGGAGCAATTTAACCCGCTCTCAGCATGCCGTCTGACCGCACCCACACAGAGACCAGTCATACAAATGTGCTCTAATATGATGGAGATCAGACACAAAATTTTGTTGAGCGGCACAAAGTTGTAGAAAGCTGAGGGAAGGCCGGCTTCATAGTACTTGTCCCTCCCTTGAAAACTGAGCCCCCTCTCCTCTTGGCCACACCCATCCACTCCTTTGAATCTCCAACGCAACCCTCCCCGGACGGCCGTGACCTCTTACCACATGATCCAGGTGACCAACACCATGGTGGCTTCATTGAAGGAACTGAAGAACTTGACCAGGATCTCCCCCTCGGCCCCGAGCTTCCGCAGGGCGATGCCAAAGACAATGGCAAAGACCACCAATCCCAGGATGTTCATCCCTTCGACCTCTCCGCCTCTGATGACCTGAGGAAGCAAGGAGGGAGAGGTCAGCGCTGTGTGAGCTGTCGGCCGGGGGCAGGCGGTGGGGAAGCCTCACTTGAAGGACCGGGACAAAGTTTGAGTCCAGCGACACCTCCAAGACCAACAAAGTTCAATTCGGGGTATAAGCAAGAACTGAGAGACTCAGCAGCATGTGTAGATGCACACTTCTTCGGATACATTGAAAGAGAGTGCTGAATTACAAGTTATTACAACACTCGGGACAATGGAAACCCCGGGGCTTAACAGAGATATCGGGTTCTTATCTCACCACAACCTGCTAAGTCACTCAGTTCTCACTTATACACAGTACTGAACTTTGTTGGTCTTAAAGGTGCCACTGGACTCACACTTAGTTCTCACATCTGCTGTTAACTCTTTTATTAGGTGTGTGCTAATTTGCTGCTATTCACAGGTCTCACCAGCTGCTTTAATCCAAACTCAGCTATACTTATCACCCAGTTACTCATACATCTCGACTCTAACTAGCCATTCCTGGCAACTAACCCCCCCCCCTCTACCTATATGTAAGGTTTAAGGAAGTCTGTTTCAATCTGTCTGAAGAAGTGTGTGTACGCACACAAGCTTCTACCCAGAATTCAACTTTGTTGGTATTAAAGGTGCCCCCGGACTCGAACTTTGTTCTGTTGCTTAAGACCGACCAGGGGTGGCCAAACTGCAGTTCAGGAGCCACATGCGGTGCTTTCACACCAGGGGTCATTTCGTAGAAAAAGAAGAAGAAGAAGAAGAAGAAGAAGAGATTGGATTTATACCCCGCCCTTCACTACCCGAAGGAGTCTCAGAGCGGCTTACAAACTCCTTTCCCTTCCCCTCCCCACAACAGACACCCTGTGAGGTGGGTGGGGCTGAGAGAACTCTGACACAAACTGCTCTTTTTCAAGGACAGCTGTGCCAGAGCTTGTGACTGACCCAAGGTCACATCAGCAGGTGCAAGTGGAGGAGTGGGGAATCAAACCCGGTTCTCCCAGATTAGAGTCGGCACACTTAACCACTACACCAAACTGGCTCTCAGCTCATTAGAGATGCAGGAGCTCATTAACATAACTCATTAGCATAACTCATTAGCGTATGCCACACCCCTGTCATCACCGGAAGTGTGTCAGAAGGCGACACCCACCGCTCAGGCTCCACTGGACTGTTTTGGATGGCTAGCTATGTGGGGGGTGGGGACGTGCAGATCTGCCCTCGCAGAGGAGGGAGAGCTTGTACCTGAATAAAACTTGGTCTTAAAGGTGCCACTGGACTGTTTTGGACCGGGGGCTGGGGGGGGCTCTGCAACTTACCTGGCTGCTTCTTGCTCTGACTGAGGGCTGCTGGGAGCAGGGGGCGGGGCTTGTTGCATGTGCCTGCCCCCTGGGCTCTTTACTGCCGGAGCTCCGCTCCTGTGCGCTCCTGCAGGAAATGACCCCTGTTGCACACATATTTTGCTGCTCCCGGCAGGGCGTCTGGGGAAGCGAAGGGGAGGCATGCCTCCTCAACCAGTCTTCCCTCCCCCAGCCAGTGTTCCCATTCCTGGGTAGGCTGGGGGGGGGCAGAGAAAGAAAGCAACCTTAAATGCGTTCTCAAAGCACCCCCTCCACCTACAAATATCATTGGGTCAACAAATATCATTATCCCTATCGGTGTTTAACCCCACTTCTTTTTTATTTCCGGCAGCCCTATTTAATGTTAACAAACAAGGCAATTTGCGTATTTTCCAAGAAAAACGTGCGTGTGACATTCGTCCGTGGGCTGCGGCTCTCAGACATCGGCGGAGGTTTATTCTGCGTGGCTCTTGCGTGAAGCAAGGGTGGCCACCCCTGCTTCAGACCGACACAGAGACCCGCCTGACCCTTGAAGGACTGGAACAAGGAATTCCCCTCTGTGCCCTTGGAGGAGCAGAAAGCCCCGTCGGCCAGCGAGCATTTTGCAATTCACGGAGGAGGAGCAGGGGTTATCCTCAAGCAACCAGGTAAAAGGTTTTATTGCTTTACTGCTCCGATACCCTGTCCTGCCCAAAAGGACGCCTGCCTCTCTCTTCCTCACCTGCGTGTGGCTGTTCCTGCCGCCGGATCTATCGTACCCAGATATACAAATTCCCCGAGTAGAAAACACCCTCAAAGATCGCCAAAACAATATATTAAACGATTAGAAAGTTGGTGATGTCACGACAACATTAATGCGTACTGTAGGGCTGTTTTGGGGCAGGAACACACAGGAACGGAGTTCCAGCTGGCTTCAGAGATGGCCACGCCCACTGCAGCCAAAACTTCTGCATGCGTGGGCTACAGCGGGAAGGCCTGGAGAACGCCCCCCCCCCCCAGGGACTCCGAGGCGGGCCGGCCGGGGTGTGTGTGCCTGGAAGGATCGGCATTTAAATGCCTCCCCGTGCCTTCCCCGACCTGTCCAAGGGCCGACTTGCCGGACAAGGCAAGGGAAGGCATGGGGTGTGGCCTAATATGCTAATACGCGGTGCTGTTGGGGTGTGGCCTAATATGCTAATGCGTTTCTGCTGCTGGGTGTGGCCTATTATGCTAATGAGTTCCTGCTGGGCTTTTTCTACAAAAAAAGCCGTGCTGTACCTATAATAAGGCATAAGATGCAATATTTCCTCCTTTGATGATAAGACATAAAGTCCGTGTAGTCAGTGTCACTTGACAGGAGGAGTCCACATAGTCATAACATTTTCCAAACAGCCTTTGCAAAGATGCCCGTCCTAGATACTTGGAAGATGCGTTTCCTTCGACTTCTTCGGGTTGCCGGCTGTGTAAGTGGAACCTGATTTCAGCGATTTCCAACAGACCCCAAGGTTCGTCGTGTAAGAAGCGAATCATAGGTTCTGTCATACCGGCAGCCCCAAGCCTGGGACAAGCACCACACAGCTACCCCAAGCTGCTGCTTCTGCTGTTCCCAAGATAGGAGGAGGAGGAAGAGGAAAAAGAAAAAGAGGAAGAGGAGAAAGAAGAGGAAGAAGAAGAGGAGGAGAAGATTGGATTTATACCCCGCCCTTCACTACCCAAAGGAGTCTCAGAGCAGCTTACCATCTCCTTTCCCCTCCCCTCCCCACAACAATTACCCTGTGAGGTAGGTGGGGCTGAGAGAGTTCTTTCCAGACTTGTCCTTGAGAGAACAGCTCTGAGAGAACTTGTGACCGACCCAAGGTCACCCTGCTGGCTGCATGTGGAGGAGTGGGGAATCAAACCCGGTTCTCCCAGATTAGAGTCCGTGCTCCTAATCACTACACCCGAGAGGCCACACAGAGAGGATCCTGAAAAGTTTCACTTTTGCGACTCCCCTAAATCTTTGCTGGATCCGTCCAGCGTCTAACATTCAGCCCGTACCTGCTCCCCCAGCTCCAAGTTGACTAGACATAACAGAGAAGCCAACATTCTTCGCTTTGCAACTAAGGCCCCCCCCCCCCCCGATGTACTTATTCTTCACGGAAGCACGCCCCCATCTTCAGTCTCACCTTGATCATGGTGACGTTTTCTACGAAGACACCCTGTTCATCCGTTACGTTCTTCTTAATCGGCAGCATCGCGTAAGAAGTCGCAAACTGGGGGGAAGAAAGCAGAACGTGGGAACTGGGCATCAGCTACACCCCAGACGACCTGGCTTTGCAACTTCCCCGTCTATCTGAGCTGGAAGCACCCAGAGACCCAGATCGGCCTGATTAGTTTTCCAGCCTTCCTGCTGTTTGAAAGCTTGAGGTGGGAAAACGGGTCAGGAAAATATCGTGTCTCTCCAACGGCAATTCAGGTAGACCGACCCCACGCAGAGGGGGCAAACCCTGGCGAGTGGATTAATCCGCTAGCAGGACGGCAGCCTGAATGGGCCCGACGACCCTGAGCTGGTTGTAGCTTGGAAGCCAAGCGGCGTTGGTCCTGGTTGGTGCTTGGATGAGAGACCCACCAAGGAAGTCTGGGGTTGCTACGCAGAGCCAGGCAACGGCAAACCGCCATACCTCGGTGGCAGGGCATCTGCTTGGCATGCAGAAGGTCCCAGAAGGTTCAATCCCCGGCATCTCCAATTAGAGATCTCGGAAGCTAAGCAGGGCCGGCCCCGGTTAGATGGGAGACCGCCAAGGAAGTCCAGGGTTGCTACGCAGAGGCAGGCAAGGGCAACACCACCTCTGAATGTCTCTTGCCTTGGGAACCCTGTCGGGTACCTATAAGTCGGCTGCGACTTGACAGCCCTTTCCAGCATCGTAACTGTGACAGGTCTACTTGGAAGCTAGTTGGGATCGGGTTATCTCCTCCAACAAGGAATGAAAAGAGACGCCGGGGGGATCTGAACCAATGCTCCCTCTAAGCCGTGGAGTCTGGTGAGCAAAAATCCTACTCTGTGTGCGACTGGCGTGAAAGTGGTGAGCGGGCGATCTGGCCGCCGCATCAATGAGTTTGCCCTGGAGCCCTCCTTCCCGAGCGAAGACAAACAATGTGTGAGACGGAGGCTAAAAGACTGTGAGCTGGCTCACGCTCATTCAGCTTAGAGGGGACACTGGTCTGAACCCGGCACACACGGGAGGCGTATACTAACTTTTCCTGCCTCAAACACACAGACAGAAGCCACGTTCCCAGGAAAACTCCCGGCTTCCTCCCTTTCTCTCGTCCCCAGGGCAATTTTTGGGCAGGAACGCACAGGAACAGAGTTCCAGCTGGCTCCCAAGTTGGCCACGCCCAGCAGGAACTCATTAGCATAATAGGCCACACCCAACAGCAGAAACTCATTAGGATTGGCTACAATAAGGGGTGTGTGGCCTAACATGCAAAAAGCCCTGGGTTTGGACCACAAACAAGGTAAAGAGAATAAGAAGCAAAAGGTGGGTGTGGCTGGATGACCACACTTCTGGTAACATGGGGGTGTGGCCTAATATGCGAATGAGCTGTGCTGTCAGGGTGTGGCCTAATATGCGAATGAGTTCCTGCTGTTGGGTGTGGCCTATTATGCTAATGAGTTCCTGCTGGGCTTTTTCTACAAAAAGAGCCCTGCTCGTCCCTATCCCCTTCCGGCAGAGTTTGCCTCCGTTCAAATTAACGAGGGTTTTAAAAAAATTAAGCCAAACTGGTTCTTCGCCTGAACCTGGCTGCGCCTCAAAAGAGGGCCGACGGCGGTTAATAAACAGCTGGGAGGGAAAGATTAACGTCATTAGGTTATTATTTCATATGGTTTTGGGGAGGCCGATGGTGTGGAACGGGCACGCGTCAAGCCGCGACGGAAGCCAACTCAACGCCTGGGATTTAGCTGGAGACAGTTCCGTCCCCCTTCCTCAAAGTATGGGTGGTTTCTGAAATGGGAGTTGGGGGGGGGGAGAAAAGAAGAGAGTTGAAGCCACTCACCGATCGGAATGCAGCAGACACCAGGTTGGAGGGGAAGAAATTCCTGCAAAGAGAATAAGAAACCAAGTCAGGAGGGATGTCAAAAGAACATCAGAAGAGCCCTGCTAGATCAGACCAGTGGTCCATCTAGGCCAGCATCCTGTCTCACACAGGGGCCAGCCAGTTCCTCTGGAGGGCCAGCAACAGGGCAGAGAGGCCGAGGCCTTCCCCTGAGAAGAACCTCAGAAGAGCCCTGCTGGATCAGACCAGTGGCCCATCTAGCCCAGCATCCTGTCTCACACAGTGGTCAACAGTTCCTCTAGAGGGCCAACAGCAGCACAGAGAGACCAAGGCCTTCCCCTGAGAAGAATATAGGACGAGCCCGGCTGGATCAGGCCAGTGGTCCATTCAGCCCAGCTTCCCTGTCTCACAGAATGGCCAACCAGTTCCTCTGGAGGGCCAGCAACAGGGCAGAGAGGTCTTCCCCTGATGTTGCCTCCTGGCTCTGGGATCCAGAGGATTAGTGCCTCTGAATGTGGAGGTTCCCCTCAGTCATCACCATGGCTAGTAGCCATTGATAGACTGCTCCTCCACGAATCTGTCCAATCCCCTTTTAAAGCTGTTCATTCCTGTGGCCATCACTACATCCTCTGGCAACGAATTCCACATTTGAATCACCCTCTGTGGAAAGAAGTATCCCCTTGCTGTGCAAAGGACTATGTCCTGGAACCGATGCCTGGTTTTATCCACCACACACAGCTAACCCGCCTCCTGGCCCACCCGCTTTCAGTCATAGCCCGACCTGCACCTTTCTGCAAAACCTCAGTTGCATACTAGTTTTGGCTGTTTCTGACTGACAACCCCCCTCCCCCCCAAAAAAAAGACCCGTTGCACAGGGAAACACCCAGGAAAAAACCCTTCCCACATGAAAGCGAAAAGAACCAGTCTGGCCCCTCTGAAGCCTGGAATGGTATCCTTGCAAAGTCCATGGGGGGGGGAGGGAATTGTCAAGCGACCCCCTCCTTTTGCCAAGGGAAATCCCTCTGCCAGGGTAGAAGAAGAAGAAGAGGAAGAGATTAGATTCATACCCCACCCTTCAGTACCCGAAGGAGTCTCAGAGCGGTTTGCAATCTCCTTTCCCTTCCCCTCCCCACAACAGACACCCTGTGAGGTAAAAGAAGAAGAAGACGAAGAAGGAGGAGGAGGAGGAGGAGGAGGAGGAGGAGGAGATTGGATTTATACCCCGCCCTTCACTACCCAAAGGTGTCTCAGAGCGGCTTACAAACTCCTTTCCCTCCCCCTCCCCACAACAGACACCCTGTGAGGTAGGTGGGGCTGAGAGAGCTCTGACAGAAACTGCTCTTTTTCAAGAACACCTCTGACAGAACTATGGCTTGCCCAAGGTCCTCCAGCCAGGTGCAAGTGGAGGAGTGGGGAATCAAACCCGGTTCTCTCAGATTAGAGTCCGCGCACTTAACCACGACACCAAATTGTGTGATCCAGTCCCCTCAACCCAGTTCGTAAGGCCCGCCCGAAGACTAGTACGTATTGGCCATCAGTGACGAAGCTCTTTTAGAAGCCTGACTCTAAGCGTGATTTTATTTTGTGCTTTGGGCCCCTGAAGCAGAGCTCCCCAAAGTTTTCGAGACGGTGAGCAACTTTGGAACTTGGGCGTAGCGTTGCGGGAGCAGCCACAAAAAGCCCAATTTCCCGAGACAACGGGACTAATTTTTAAAGACGCACTGAGAAAAGAGTGAGAGAAGTAAAACCGATGCTGTGGTTATTTCAATCAGTACGGCCAATCAGATTTTCAATGGCCAAATGGGGAGGTACCCCATCTGGCCCCGCCCATTTGTACAAACACTTGGCAGGCGGCCAGGAAAGGCGTTGACGGGTGCTGGGGGGGGCCCGGGCCCCGCGTTGGGGAACCTTGCTCTACAGTGGCTTCAAAACTGCGCCAGCGAGAACGCCAGACGAGACGAGCTGGGTCAGCGGCTTCCCTGCTCACAACACACACACTGTCGCGATTCTTCCGCGCCACCTCTCAAACTGAGAAGGATTCCCTTCCGCCCGCCACTCCCGATTATCCAAGCCTTGGTCGGATGCAGTGTTTTCTCTAAGCTGAGTTAGCGTGAGCTAGCTCACAGTTTTTTATCCTCCGGCTCACACATTTTTGCCTTCGCTCAGGAAGGAGGGCTCCAGAGCAAACCAACTCATGCAGCAGCCAAATCGCTCGCTCACAACTTCAATGCCAGTCGCTCACCAAGTAGAATGTTTGCTTACAAGACTCCGCAGCATAGAGGGAGCATTGGTCAAGAGCAGGGGTCATTTTGTAGAAAAAGAGGTGCAGGAGCTCAGTAGCATAACTTATTAGCATACGTTATTTGCAGATGCCACACCCCCTGGCATCACCGGAAGTGTGTCAGAAGGCGACACCCACCGCTCAGGC